CCACCCGGGGAGGGGGGCAGGAGCGGAGAAGAGCACACACACCCCGTCCCCACACCAGCAAAGCACCACTTTCAGAAGCCTCGGGGGGGGGGGCTTCATCTTACGAAACAGGGCCATAGTTAAAATTGTCTTGTGAGGCACCAAAACCTTTGCCGGACCCAATCGTCCAGCGAGTTATTTGTCCTGCGAGGCAATCATCTTGCGGGGCACCACTGTACATAATTTGAAAGCCTATATGATAGTAGTGATCACAGCAAAGGCAGCTTTCTTTTCTGTCACCACTGTGCAGAACCATCCAGAAGAGCTGTTTCCACATATGGCCTCATGGAAGCAGCTGGCAGAGGCAATCATCTTGCGGGGCACCACTGTACATAATTTGAAAGCCTATATGATAGTAGTGATCACAGCAAAGGCAGCTTTCTTTTCTGTCACCACTGTGCAGAACCATCCAGAAGAGCTGTTTCCACATATGGCCTCATGGAAGCAGCTGGCAGTAATGTTCTTGCCAGCATTTCTCAGGGGGGAAAATCAGCCACAAATCTAATCTGAGCTAGACATGTTTAGATTTTTAAAAACCCTAAGCAATGTGATAATAGGATTGAAAAAATTAGACAGAAAAGAGGTATCACTGGAGATATAAATATAATCAAGGTCCAGGAGAATATTGTTATTTATAGCTCTCTCCTCCTGAAGCAATGAGGATACCGATCCAAAAGCAACTCCCCACCACAACATTTACGTTTCATAATCACCCAACTCATTTAAAATGGAATGGCAATACCTGGCAGAGGTAACTGTACCAATATACCACTGACTCTTGGATCAGTATTTAGTTTGGCCGTTAGATCTAAGAGTTCTTCCTGAGAAATATTCTTGGGCTTCAGTATTATTTCACTAGAAATGCCTGAAATGAAAACAACACACAAAATAATATCCTTAGCAAAGATTGTTTAGTTTTACTAAGTACTAAAAAAGATTCAGTACATTTCAGTAGCATTTTCATTTAAATTTGTTTAATAGGAACAGCACAGTAAAATAAATTCACATTCATATGTTATTATAGGCTTACTTATTTAATATATTTAAAATAAAAATTGAAAACTATACACATTGAAGCTGGGATTGTACACAAGCTATTTGCTTTTTTTTGTTTTGCTCTTTTAAAGCATACCTACAGCAGCTGCTGCTTTTACTTTATTTCTTACGTATGTGTGACTGGCTGGGTTGTCTCCTACTAAGACAACAGTGAGATGAGGCCTCTTGTTTCCCAAGGCGAGCCAAGTTTCTATGTCTCTTTGTATCTCTTCACAGAGCTCTGCAGCCAGCTTTTTCCCTGAGATAATAGTTGCTTCAGAACTATAAAAAGAGAAAAGATACAAGGAGAATGTTAAAAAAACACCCTCACAATTTTTAGACTAAACATTTTACTGCTAAGAATGAAACATTACTGTATATATTAATCAATCCTGCCATAAAATGAAATTGGCCTGCTATGTATAAAGAATATGAAGATAGCCCAGCTCTGAAATGCAGAGAAATGGAAAATCAGCTCAATATAAAATTATGTGTACATCAGATGCAGAAGACCTTCTTGCAGAAGGTTTCTGCTGTTGCTGTAGAACTGGCCTCCTGCACTGTCAAGTCTCTGCTCTTACAACCTTTACCTTCTTATGGGACAAGATTACAAATACGTAAGAAACTAGGAATTCAGTTAGTGATCTCAGCACTCACAATGAAATGAACATCTTCAGCTTTTGTTTAGTAAAGAATACTAAAAAAATGCTTTCAACAAAATATTTTATGTGCAATATATTTTACAATTCTATCCTAATTTGCTCAGAATAGTTATACCCTATTAGTGCAATCCCAGACTCCATTTATGTTGCCTGAATAGATAGATAGATGATGCAAATCGAGTTCCTTTATACAGTACTGACAGTTATGATGGTTGTCAAGATTCTACATCACTGATGCTATTTACTCTGACTACATCTCTGCCCATGCAAGGACCAAATTGGGTGGTATCAAGGATGTAAGCAGAATCCTTGGTTTTCTGTTTCAGTCCTACCCCTGCAATGAAATAACGTCACAAAGTGATGAGAAAACATGAGGATTGTGAATGGAAGACAATGATATCACGTGCAGTTCCACAAAACCTAATAAACAAGGCAGGAGACTAGATGATAAAAGCCTCATCTGGAATTGTTCATCATCCTGCTATAGTTCAGGATTATTACAGTCTGGCAATATGGAATATACTATAAATTTCAAGTTTCTATAGCAAGACTCTGCTAGGGAATACTGTGTACAGTGGACCCTCGACTTACAGACGGCTCAACTTGCAGACTTTTTGAGTTACAGACTTCTCTGGCCACAAAATTTAGGTTCGACTTGCAGCCGGAGAATCGACCTACAGACTGGGAAAAAACCCAAAATGGAACAAAAACGGCCAGTTACAGGATTAATTAGTTTTCAATGCATTGTAAGTCAATGGAGACTCGACCTACAGACTTTTCGACCTGCAGCCACCATTCCAATACGGATTAATTCTGTAAGTAGAGGATCCACTGTATACCACAAGCCATAGAACACCCTCGGCTCCCCACCACTGAAATAAGACTCTTCTAAGGTAGATGCCAGAGTAATCACAAAGCAATGATAAGGAGGTGAGCAAGTTCATTCAGCTTCTCAATGTCTCACAGCCATGCTGGAGGGGTAGGTGGTGATCCTGCATTCTTAGCAGCCAGTGCACGACTGTCAAAAGAACTGCAACTCAGTTACTAGGGCAATTTTCTGAATTTTCTCCACAAGTTCCAAATTTCCCTTCCTCTCATAATCCTTTACAGCAATTATCCATTGTTCGGGAAGTTACTTCTAGCTGTATGAGAAATGATTAAAATGGGGTTGGTTATAAAAGACAGGAAGCTGTATTAAAAACAAAGGTAGCTGTGGTGGATTTGGTGAATTAATACCTTCAGCACGGCTTTTAATTTGTGAAAAGGGTGCTCCACTGCAGCTGCCAATGCTTCTATCATAACCACATGCAGTCAGGTGGAGAAAAAAGTATACCCTCTTTGAATTCTATGGTTTTATATATCAGGACATAACAAAAATCATCTAGTTCTTAATAGGTCTAAAAATTAGGTAAATACAACCTCAGATGAACAACAACACATGACATATTATACTGTGTCATGATTTATTTCACAAAAATAAAGCCAAAATGGAGAAGGCATGAGTGAAAAACTAAGTACACCTTATGATTCAATAGCTTGTAGAACCACCTTTAGCAGCAAAAACCTGGAAGTAATCATTGTCTGTATGACTTTTATCAGCCACTCACATCATTGTGAGGAAATTTTGGCTCACTCTTCTTTACTTGAGTTCATTGAGGTTTGCAGGTATTTGTTTATGCACAGCTCTCTTAAAGATCCCACAGCATTTCAATTTGTCTGAGGTCTGGACTTTGAGTGGGCCATTGCAATACATTGATTCTTTTCTTTTTCAGCCATTCTATTGTAGATTTACCGGTTTGCTTGGAATCACTGCCGCGTTATGTGACCCAATTTCCGCCAAGCTTCAGCGGTTGAACAGATGGCCTCACATTTGACTCTAGAATACCTTGGTATATATATTTATTTATTTTATTTATTTATTTGATTTGTATCCCGCCCATCTGGTCTGGTCGACCACTCTGGGCGAGGAGTTCATGGTCGAGTCAATGACTGCAAGGTGTCCAGGCCGTTCGGCTACAAAACAAGCCCAAATCATCACCCCTCCACCACACTTGACAGTTGGTATGAGGTGTTTGTAGTGATATGCTGTGTTTGGTCTTCACCAAACATAGTGCTGTGCATTATGGCCAAACATCTCCACTTTGGTCTCATCTGTCCAAAGGACACTGTTCCACAAAGTCTTGTGGTTTGTCCAGAAGTAACTTTGCAAACCTAAGCCATGTTGCAGTTTTCTTTTCAGAGAGAAAAAGGCTTTCTCCTGGCAACCCTCCCAAACAAACCAGACTTGTCCAGTCTTTTACTAACTGTACTGTTGTGAACTTTAACATTTAACATGCTGAGGCCTGTAGAGTCTGAGATGCAACTCTTGGTTTTTTTGCAATTTCTCTTGCATTGCACGGCCTGACCTTGGGGTGAATTTCCTTGAATGTTCACTCCTGGGAAGACTGGTAACTGTTTTGAATGTTTTCCACTTGTGAATAATCTTCCTCACTGTAGAATGATTGACTTTAAATTGTTTGGAAATGGCTTCCTAGCCTTTTCTAGATTGAAGGGCAGCAACAATTGCTTCCCTAAAATCACTGCTGATGTATTTCCTCCTCGGCATTGCATTATCACACACCTGAATGCTCCAGAGCAGCAAGCTGGTAAAACTTCAGCTTTTATAGAGGAGATCACACTTGCTGATGATCAGTTACTCAAGGGCATTTGGTTAGCAGCACCTGGCTGCTACTCAGCCTCTTAATTCCTATGGAAACAGTAAAGATGTACAGTGGTGCCCCGCACAGCGAGGTTAATCCGTTCCGGATTAACCTCCGCTGTGGGAAACATCGCTGTGCGGGAGGGAAAAAGCCATAGAAACGCATTGAACTTTGTTCAATGCGTTCCTATGGCTTTCAAACTCACCGTTCAGCGAAGTTCCGCCATAGGCGGCAGCCATTTTCGCGCCCTCCCCGCGCAGAACGAGGGCGCCAAAATGGCTGCCATCAGCTGTTCAGCGGGGAAAAAATGGCCGCCGGAACAGCCGAAAGGGGCCGGGGCGCAGCGTTTTCGCGCCCTTGGTAAGCAAGGGGAGCGCGTGAAAACGCTGCCGGAAGCCCCGAAATGGTTGCGCACAGCAAAAGCGTCACCGTAGAGCGAATTCATCGCTCTACGGTGCGCTCGTGGTGCGAGGCACCACTGTACTTAGTTTTTCACACATGATGTCTCCATTTTGGCTTTATTTCTGTAAAATAAATCATGACGTGGTGTAATATGTCATGTGTTGTTGTTCCTCTGAGGTTGTATTTACCTAATTTGCAGATCTGCTAAGGACTAGATCAGGAGTCTCAAAACTACGGCCTATGGGCCACATCTGGCCCACCTTGCCTTTTTATCCAGCCTGGGGTGTGTGGGTGTGAGCACGTGTGGGCATGCATGTGGAAGTGCATGCATGGATGTGCACATATGCATGCATGCATCTTCCTTTAGTCCTCAAAAATGAGGAGCATATATGATGTGGCCCTCCCGCTGAAAAGTTTGGAGACCCCTGGACTAGATGATGTGAGACACTGAGAAGTTGAATGAACTTTTATCCTGCATTTCTCCTTAAAAAATAAACAAACCCAAGGTGGCTCCAGCATGAAGAAATCCAGAAAGTCTCTGAAAGCATACAAATTTTCATATTCTTCCATTCACTTCAAATCATTACCACAAGGATCTATCCAGTTCATAGGACCGCTGAAATATGTATTTCGTTAATGGCTAATGGCAGTTCAAGCTAAGAAAAGGGGGTTCTCTACAGTTCTGTGGCAAATGCAATGCAGATGTGTGACTGCATCATCAAAAAAGCCATCCTATTGGCATTTTCTTTTCAGGTGGTCTGTGAATTAAGAACTATTTTGAACATTATGAATACTGATATTGGAGACAGGAAAGAAGAGAATACAGTGGTGCTTCGCTTAATGATTGCCCCGCATTACGACGTATCTGCTTTACGATGAAGTTTTGCAATCACAATTGCAAAATGATGGTCTAAGTGGGGGAAATTTGCTTAACGATGATTGGTTCCCTGCTTCGGGAACCGATTTTCGCTTTATGATGATCAAAAACAGCTGATTGTCGGGTTTTCAAAATGGCTGCCGGGTGCTTAAAATGGCTCCCCACTGTGCTTAGGGACTGATTCCTCGCTATACAGGCACCAAAAATGGCCGCCGTATGGAGGATCTTCGCTGGACGGTGAGTTTTTAGCCCATTGGAACACATTGAGGGGTTTTCAATGCGTTTCAATGGGCTTTTTAATTTCACTTTACGACGTTTTCGCTTAACAGCGATTTTCCTGGAATGGATTATCGTCGTTAAGCGAGGCACCACTGTAGCTTATCCATAACCTTAAATCTCTACACATGTAAAGATAAAATCCACATTGATTTTTTTGGCCTGCAAATATAAGTGCAATTGCATGCAGGACTGCTGCTCAAAAAAGCCTTGCTACACAAGGCCAGCTCCATCATGAGGCAAAATGAGAAATTATTAATTTTATTAACCATATTAAGAAATGTTTTAATTACAGGCAAATGGAACACAGAGCTTGACTTGGCTTGCAGTGGTTAAACCTTTGAGTGAGAAGTTATTATGCAATATACTTAAACAAAAAGAGGAACTGTAACATATGCTAGGAATTGTAAAATTAACCACAAACCACAATATGTACTTGCAACTTAAGTTGAAAAATTTCAATTTGTAAATCTTGTAACTAATTTGAAGATGTCCATGGGAAAAATAAATGATCGACACATGCTGTGACAAGAGTATAAAAATTGGTATGTTTCCTTTGCCACCTACAAGGTATTGCACCATTCTATGATAATGGTCTTAAGTAAACTGCTTGCTTTGGATAACAGCTTTTTGAGGCTATTACTCTTACTATTACTATTATTAAAAAATTAATTTTTCTCTGATATCACCTTTGTCAACTGTTTTAGGGAGTTCTAGATAGTTGATTAATATTGTGTTTTTGCTGCCTTTGTGTGAAGTCTTCTGCCCTTGGTTGGGGGGAAAAACCCTTGACTGATCATGGATTAATGTAGCTCACATAAATCCATCTAATATATTCATGATAACAGCATTAAAAAACATTCAAAGGAAACATTGTAAATAGTTTAGGTTCTAGCTACAATAGCTTTAGCTTAGCCATTCACAATGGGAGCTATATGGCCCCCTGGCACATTTGAAGGTGGGCACAGACTTGAAACAATTCTTAACACACCGCTAGAGATGGAAGTACAGTATTCAAATACGAATATCCTTATGCAGCTGGAGTTAACGAGGGCCTGGCCTCTGGGGCCGGATTGTCCACTCATGCATCTGGCGGTGGTGGCCTTGCTCATCCTTCCAATCACTCCCGAACCCTGCTCTCTTCCTGCTCGGCTAGCAATTCGGGTGCAGGGAGACTCATCCTCCCTCCCTTTGCCTGGAGTGGCTAGCTGAGAAGGAAAAGAGTGGGACTCTGGGAGTGACTGGAAGAATAAGCAAGGCCACCACTGCCGGATGCATGAGTGGACGGTCCAGGGGGCGGATCCTCATTACCTCCAGCTGTGCAGGGATACTCATATTCGTATACAAATACAGTGGGGTCTTGACTTGAGAACTTAATCCGTATTGGAAGGCGGTTCTCAAGTCAAAAAGTCTGTAAGTCAAGTCTCCATTGACCTACAGTGCATTGAAAACCGATTAATCCCATAACAGGCCGTTTTTGTTCCATTTTGGTTTTTTTCTGGTCTGTAAGTCAAATCTCAGTCTGCAAGTCAAACCTAAATTTTGTGGCCAGAGAAGTCTGTAACTCAAAAAGTCTGTAAGTCAAGCCGTCAAAGGGTCCACTGTACCCCCATCTCTACACACAACCTTATAAAATTGAAACCTATACAATCCTGATTTGGCTATACAGTATTTCTCTCATATTGTATTTATAGCCAAAAAAAAAAAAAAAAGGCTGAGAAATGGCTGCTTAGCTTATAGCCACTGATGTACTGCAAAGCAATTAACTATCCATATAGTTATGCTAGTATATATACTACATCATTTGGGGGGGGGAAGCTATACAGAATATGGATATGCCACATTATAAGTAGAGACAGGGACGAAGCACAAAATGGTGCTTCGTCTTGGTTCGTGGGTCGTCAACCTTGACAACCCATGACTCACAAATTGTTTCCCAGTAGTCTGATGAACCACAAATCAATTTGTCGGGTCTTTTTTTTAAATTATTTTTAAAAGACAGCCTGTAGGGCTATCTAGAAAAAAAAATGCCCCTGCCTCCACAGTCTGCCCCCACCCCCTTCCCACTGTTACTTACCTGGCTAAGCTTGCTCCTCCTGCTCTGCGGCAGCTTCCACCGAAGCAGAAGCTACATTGCTGGAACTGTGGTCTCAGTTCCAGCAGCCTAGCTTTTGCTAGCAGCAGTGGGGAGGGCTGACTGAGGGGATTCCCCATGCTGTCAGGCAGTGGAATGGGAGACTGCTTTAGTCAGGGCATAGAAAGAGAAGGCAAGTGGGACCCAAGCGATCCCCCACCTTGCTGTCTTTGATCCCACTTCCCTTATCTTTCTCTGCCCACCCAGGCATAGAAAGATGGGGGAAGCATAACAGAAGCAATCCCCCAACTCCACTGTCTTTACTACGACAATAGGGTGGGGGATCACTAGGGTCCCACTTACCTTGTCTTTCTATGCCCAGGTGAGCATAGAAAGACATGAGAAGGCTGATTCAAGGAACCCCACCTCTACCCTGCTGTCTTTGGAAAGACAGTGGGTGGGTGGGGATCACTTGGATCCCACTTCCCTTGTCTTTCTATATCCGCACGGGCATAGAAAGACTGGGGAAGCCTGACAGAAGCGACACTTGGATCCCACTTCCCTTGTCTTTCTATGTCCGCCCGGGCATAGAAAGACTGGGGAAGCGACCCCCCCACCCCCACTGTCTTTGCAAAGACTGTCGCGAGAAGTCTTTTGGTCAGGCTTTCCCTGTCTATGCCGCAGGTGCATAGAAAGACAGGGGAAGCCTGAGCAAAGCGACCCCCCCCGTTTTTGTAAACAGTGGGGTTGGATTGCCTTTGGGTAGGCTTTAGAACTTCTGCCAACCTAACAGTTCGAAAGCATGCAAATGCAAGTAGATAAATAGGTACCACCATGGTGGGAAGGCAACAGAGTTCCGTGTCTAGTTGTGCTCGCCACATGACCACGGAAACTGTCTTTGGACAAACACTGGCTCTATGGCTTGGAAACGGGGATGAGCACCGCCCCCTAGAGTCAGACACGACTAGACTAAATGGCAAGGGGAACCTTTACCTTTACCTCTAGGCTTTAGAAAGCCAGTTGAGGTTTAAATCCCCAGCTGTTCTGCAGGGGCACAAGCAGATAGGGATAGACAAAGGGACGAATATAAAAGGGTTATATTTGTTGCTTCATATTTGCCGGGGTCTCTGGACCTCAAGAATATGAAGCAATGAATATCTGATGAATCAGGGATATTCACTGAATATCCTGATTCGCTTTTATATTTGTCCAAATGTCTAATTATAAGTGTTATTTTTAAATGTTTTCTGTTATGTTTTCCCTTTCACCTAGTGTCAAAAAGAAAATCCAACCAAATATTGAAAGTGTCTGCCAACTATTTCTATGAGTAATATAACAAATAATGCAAATTAGATTGCAATAGTAAAAAAAATCTGTTGAAATCACTCTAAAACCAACACCGTTTTAATTATTTTAGACAGATATAGATAAGTAGGATTAAAATCATTAAAGGTAAAATACCTTTTAATATCTAAACATTTTAGTTAAAAGCATCTCTTTGATTCATAAAGTAAATGAGTTTAAGGGGCATATGGGGGAAGCAGACAGGGCTGAGTTCGGAAGATGGAATCTCTTCTCTCTGGTGCTCCTAGAAGAGAAAAGAGAAACCAATAAGCATAAGCACACTGTCTTATATTTTCCCCAGCCATGCCCCATAACTCATGTTCACCAATAATCTATTCACATATCTACATTCAAAATATAGTATAAAGAACTACACAGATGCTCTTTCAACACAGCACAGTCTAAATGCCAAGCCACAAAACCATATAATGTTCCCAAATATGCACTGAAAGATGTCTCACCCAAGACTTCGTATGTTTGGGCCTCACAGCATTCCTTTGTTAATTACTTTATGGTACATATTCCTGCCACATAGAATGACAGACAGTACAGCAAAAACAGGCCTCTGGACAAGCGCACATTTCACAAGGGATAGCTTCGCAGGCCAAGAGCTCTTGGAAGTCTCCAAAACAAGTGTTCATACTTGCAGAAGAGAATTCAATTCCTACCCCTTGTATGGGCAGAAGCTTTTAGAATCATATATATGTTATTATATAGGTCTAAATCCATATGTTACTCACAAGTACTGTACATCCTAATTTAACCAGGTTAGTCAACACTTGTGAAAGTTCCACTGATTCAATGGAACCACTCTAGTTTTGAAAAGTAATTAGATTTAGGTCATAAAAGCCACCAGGCTCACATATTGTTTATAAAAGTATTCCTTCATATTTACAGTAAGTACTCTTTTTAAAAAATTTATACCAAGGATGAAAAACCACTCTTTCTATCCTTCACCCATACCAAAACATAAGAATAATCTCTGGCATTAATTTCATACTACCATCTTTAAAAAGTTAAGAAAGTTAACCACACACTTCCACTCCAGATATATCATACCCAGTCCTATCATATTCTAAAAATTTCCCACATTTAATGTTTAATAATCCACTAGCTGCCAATGTTTTCCTTTTCAAAAATTCTGAATCAAAATGTTTTTCATCCATATTATCAATATTCACCTTAAAAACCATAAGAGAAGAACAAAGCATCTCTGATTAGAAGTGAGATGAGAAAGAACATGTATACACATTGATATTTCTTCCACACCTACTTCCCCTCAACAAATGGTTATCTGTTCCCAGCTAAAGTTAAACAATTGTTTAGGGTTGTGGCTGTGTGACATTGCTAATAGCTTCAGGTTAATCTTTCGTTTTGAGATGTTCTCAGCACATGATCTTCCTGTCTCCTTAAAAAGGACACATTTATTCTAAATGTTTACTGATATAGTCACATAAGTAGTTACTGGTATTTTTGCAGTACTATCAAACTTTTGTGTTTTGACTCAGATTTTTTTTTTTTTGCTGGATTTTGCTGTTCTACCAAGAAGTCCACCACCACATACTGTACTGTCAAATATACCGTATTTTTCGCTCCATAAGACGCACCTTTCCATAAGACACACCAATTTTTTAGGAGAAGAAAACAGGAAAATATAATCTGTTTTCTTTGCTCCATAAGACGCACAGACTTTCCACACCCCTGTTTTGTGGGAAAAAAGTGAGTCTTATGGTGCAAAAAATACAGTATTCCTCAGACATGTCACAGAATTTACCTCTTCACTATCCACATGGGCTCAGACCCCATTTATTTTTAAAAATCAATTCTGTACTTTTAAAACATTATGTCTTCAACCACATTTTTTGTATCTCACAGATCAGCCGCACTGTGCACAACAATAATCCAAGAACACAAATACTCAAATGTGTTGAGGCTGCAGGCTAGTCCATACAAACTACTTGCCCTACCTTTACTCCTGTTTATGTGAGCAGATAAGCAAACACAGGCTAGTTTACAAGCCAGATTTCATAAATCAGCTTTAAACTTTTTTTTTTGTTAGGTTATGGATCCGAACTTGTTCAAAAGCAATTAAACACTAATCTGGGTTAGGATGTAAAGTCAAGCTATCTAAGCTTTGTCAGTTCTCATGCTTACACAAACAGGATGCTCAAACGTTTTTTTAACATATTCAAATTTTAAGTCCATACTTAGTAGCAGAAAAATTATAGCTTATTAACTGCTTTCAACCCAAGAATACCCCTAAGGGCACTTCTAAGCACAGTGTGCCTTCTCATTTTTATTGGATGATGTTATTGAAGTAAAGGGAAGGAATCAACTCTCCACTTTTGCTTCTGCTAAAGAGAATTGCCAGTGGGGCGGGAGAGTCTTTTAAGCATCCTTCTACATTTTGTCCCAAATGTCTCATGAATTTTAAAAATTGTACGTTTTCCCATTACCAGATAATGAAAGAAATGAGAAGCGCACAAATATATTTCAAAAAATTAAAACAGAAACAAAACAAAAAAATATGGAGTTGGCTACAATGTTCCAGTTTTAAAGGAGGCTAAAACCCTGCCTCCACCCAGTCAAGTGCATTTCTGAAGATTAAGTGGATGTTAACACATCTAGCCACATTCTCTTATGAAGAGTTGAAGAGCACCACACTTCTAAAGGGGATCTGCTGTAATGCATGCTCCATTCAGTTTTGGAAACTGATACGAGGTTTACAGGATGGAACACTCTGCCATACGGAAAGCTGTATGTTTAAAGAAAATGGTTCTAGCATAGCTTTATCTCTAACATGCTAGTTTTTTCAACAGAGGGATTTTTTAATTGTATATAATTATTCTGGTAGGCAACAACTCTTAATCATAAGAACAGCTATTCTGGATTAGGCCTCTCCAGTCCAGCATTCTGTTCATACTGAAAGGCAGCCAAATGTTTTTGGGAAACCCACAAAGGCAGTATGAGTGAAACTGCCTTGCTCATGTTTCCCAGCAGTGGATATGCAGGGGCATATCACCTCTGAGGACAAAACTATGTGTCAAGCTATTTACACTGAATGCTTAGCATACATACAGCTAAAGCTACTGTTCTTTACTCGCAGATTTGCACAACCATATCTCCAATCCATATCGAACCTTCAACACATAGGGAGGGTTCAAACCTCCGCAGATCTTTACCCCTATCCTTCCTGCTTCAGATAGCCTTAAAAGAGGGGAACCTCTAGGGAAAGGCTAATAACAAGATCCCCTTGTTATTAGCCTCTCTGCAATGGGGCAGAAGACACGCAAAGGGAAATTTATGACCGCTTTCACATGGATGGTGGGCCCAAACCAGTCTGGAGCCTTATTTACCTGTGAATCTTAAGATAGCAACATTATGATGCCCACTATCCATACTATAACCTAGTATGACCTTAAACCAAGTACTTTAATTCAAGGTACAGCTTCATAAGAAGCCGGCATTTAAATCATGGGACCCTTCATCAGAGCAATCCAAAGTGGCACAGCTCAAGTGTTGGTTTATCACTGCAGCAACAACAAGCCCTCACACCCTTGCTACATAAGAATTTCCATATCTGAAAAAAGCTGTTGTGTTTAATGTCTGTCACACTCATTTTGCGACAATAACAACCTATTTATTGACTATCCTCACCCAAACAATAAAGAGCTGAAAGCAAAGTCTTCTCATTTCCTAGGGAACTTCCAGAAGAAGATGGAAAAGAACTGAGAGCAGAAGAAACCCCAAGGTTCCTTCACTGAATACCAGCCAGAGACATTGCCAATTAGGAAGA